CCCAAGCACCTGCCAGGGGAAAGCTCTGTGGACCTCCTTCTCCTAAAATCAGGCTGGGAGTCAGATTCTGTCTCATAGACACTGGGTGCAGGTACATGGAGCAATGAAGCTCATGGCCTTCTGGCTCCTCCAGAGGGAGAATAATGTTTAAAGAATAGGTTATAAAGTCTATTCGTTATTAGGAAGAAAGTTCTCTGGGTGTCTCTTGCACCATCTCACATGGGCATGAAGGGTCAGTGCGGTCTTGGCTCCTCTGGCCTCCTGACCACATGGCAGGGGGCGGAGCCAGCCCTCCATTATTAATGTGCTCTCCCTCTTGTCTAGTTTTCTAGAACCAGCCCTCTGCCATCCCACATTTCTTTATCCGTTAAATGTACTAAGGACCACTCTGACCTAAGAACATTGTTCTCATCCTTCTACTAATATGGGGATGTTTTCCCACTTTTAGTGACTTACTGGGCATGGGGAGGAACTCAGAGATGTCTGGAGTTATCCTATCTATGACTCTGACCCTGACCAGAACCTTCTCTTGCTGTGAAAAGATGCTCTAGACCACATCGTGCGGCTCATGAGAGGAAACAGGAGGAGCTCCCCAAGTACCACTTAGGGGCGGAGATAACTCCTCCCTTCTGTCTTGATGATGGCTGCACTGTTATTATGGGCTGTGGGTTGTCAGGGTGATTCCTGAGGTGAAGGAAACAGCAAAGCCACTCGGTGGCCTGTCTGAATAACAGGACCTCCTTCTACTCCAGGGACATAGGAGGGCACATGACCATAACAGACTTTAGGTCTCCCAGGCTTTCCTTAGAATACACCAGGCTCATGAGAGGGAAAAGCCCCTTCTCAGGGACGCGCCACCAAGTGGGTCTGTTTCCACTGCGGGAGGGATTCTCTCATCCCAACCCAGCCATTTCCATGAACAAGGGCTCCCCAATTGCCTCCCATGGGGCTCAGGGCACACCCCTCCCCAGGAGGATGACAGTGACCCAGGTCAAGTTCCCACAGACAGCAGCCCAGGGTAGAAACTGAGGCACAATAAGAGGAACAGATCAATGGTTCAGCAGCAGCTTCTTCTGGGCTTGAGCCAGCTGGGAATTCCTTTTCTGCATTTGGCAAAACTGGCTCTGCATACCTCCCCATGTCTGGGTCAGAAGAGGTCTCTGGAAGGATGTTTTGTGGGTCAGGGTATGGACTCTCAGACTGCCCAGGTTCCAATCCTGGCTCCCTCCATGCTGAGTGACCATGCCAGGTTACTGAACCCTCAGTTTCCCCCTCTGTAAAATAGGGCTTTTGTTAATGCCTTCCTCTTAGTATTGTTGTAAAGATTAAATAAGATGAGGGGCACGAAATTGTCCAGCACAGGTCCTGGAGTGTATCAGGAATCCAGTAATAGCTACTCCTATGATCGGGAGCAAGAGGGAGTGGTTCGTGTGAAACAGCTGGTGGGGGAAAGTGAGCTATATGGAGTGAGGTTTTGTTCACTGCTCTGGAACTGCCATGTTGCTTGGCAAACTCCAAGAGCCTCAAATGGTTTTGTCTGCCTTCCAAGAAGATGGAACAACAGGTGGGGTGGCCTTAATTTGTTCCAGCCCAAAGAGAGCCTGGTTCAGTGTCAAACCTCCTGGGGCAGGTGGAAAAGCTTCCACCTCAGTGGCCACCCTCCGCCCTGGTGGGTGACTCCCCTGGGCACGCCATGTAATCAGTGGGCACTGAATGAATGCTCTGCATTCCCTGGGGAAAGCTGTGACAGCACAGCTTGCAGCTGTCCATCAGAGGCGGGAATGACAGCTCAGTGCCATGCTGACCACTTTCCCTGCTTTGGGCCTGGTTCTAGCCTCTGAGCTGTGAGGCGAGGGACCCGAGGGCACGCCAGCTTACCCCCACTCAGGCCACCATCTCCACAGATGTCCCAGGAGCCCAGGAGCCTGGGGTCGGGGAGGGAACAGAGGAGATGGGGTTGGGAGCGACTGCCCCATGAGCCATGCTGCTCTAACTGTGGGTTGGGACATATCCACGTGGGGTGTTTCAGTTCTAAATGTCCTTCCTGTTGTCCAAATGGGCACCCAGGTCACTTCCTAGCAGCCTGTTTTAAGGGGGGAAGATGCTAGATTATCTTGCATCCCCCAAAGTCAATAAACATTGGTGGTAATAAACAACAGATACGTGTTCATACCGTGAATGCCTGCAGGAAACGAGCATGTGTAGGAGTAATTACAGGCAGACATGGTGGCTATTTCCAAACATCTGAAGACAATGACGACAGACTTTTGAGTTTCCCAGAAGCCAGGAAAAGGTTTAGTGTAAGAAAGTACTTTCTAACTTCCAAATACGCAGTGAGCACTTATCACAGAAACCATCTGCAAAGGGGTGACAGGAGGATTTGTCAGAGGAGGCACGGGAGGGACTCTGCACCAGCCAGCTGGGAGGCTTGGAGTTCTGAGGTTGCTCTGAGCTCTAAGACCTTGGGACTAAACTGAAGGAGGCAGCCCTGTGGGTCTCCAGGCAGGGCATCAGTTTAGGGGCACCTCCTGGATTCCCTGGCTGGTGGAAACTTGTTTGTATAGATACTTTTGCTGCAGCTGCTGAGAAACTCTGGAATATTCTACTATTAGTGTTGGCCACCTGTACACAGGAACAGGCCAAGAAAACCACCCCAGGGGGCTGGCTGGGTACATGATAGACTGGGCATTTTGGGAGAAATGGCTGAAAAGTCCAGAAAAATGGGGAGGAAGCAGGGTGGGGGAAGCACAACCAGTTCTCATGCGCCTACTTGTTAGCGTCACAGTGAGTGCCGGAAGGGAAAGGTTCAGGACCACTTCTGTGGCAGAGACAGCTCCGCTTAGTGATCCGTCAATCATTTGAGAGGTGGAGAGGGAAGAAAAAGGACAAACCTCTGACAAAAAGCCTTCAAGTCAAAGGAGAGGGAATTATGGAGCCTTATCAGAGCATCTCTGGTCTACCAGGAGAAATCCAATCACGCTGGCTGAACTCGGAGTCAGATCTAATCAGGACCTGCTCTCCAGCTGCTCAGCACCAGGTCAAAACCAACGGCCGCTGGTTCTTTCTGGAAAGCAAGCCATCTGAGTTGTGTCAACTTCTGGTCTCCTTGAGACCAGGATGCTTTGTTCTTACCCCCAGCTAGTCAATGCCATCTGCTCAAAATGGTGCCACACAACTGGAGCCAACTGCCCAGCCCAGGCAAAGTCCTGCTGGTTCTAGAAACCTACTGGCATGTTAGCTTGGAGCTGAGACACACTGACTTTCTTTTAAAATATGACTGTATGGAGTCTGTGACTCATGCCATTCACTGTGCTGGGCACTGATGGCCACCCCATGCCTCCTAGTGGGTGCCAGGGCAGTTTCCTTACACACACACACACACACACACACACCTGATAAAAGGGCATCACACCAGCCTGGGGGGTACACCCCCATATATACCTCTAGGCGGGTGTATTATTACTCTTCTTCTGGGGCATTGATGGCTGCAGTTAGCCAGTCTTGTGGTAGCAGCTATAACTCACAGCTTCTTTGCCATGAGCAGAGAACACCATCTGTGGAACTCCCAGCTCCCCGCAGAGCCCAGCCTGCCATTCTAAAAAATAGCCTTGAAGGCCCACTGAAGGCTGGGACCTTGGAATAAGAAATGCCCACATAGAGACATAAGGAATGAGACAGGAGGTGCCGAGAGACTGTCCTCTCTGGTTTTCAGCTTTGCCACACAAGCTTGATGGATCTGCTGCCCACAGACTGGCAGGGCATCTCATCCCAACCTGACTCACATCATTGTGTTGTCATAGGAGGACCTGTCCAGGGCCGAGTCTTGAAGGACATGGGAAGGGTAAGCAGTAAAGTACAAGATGGGAAAGGCTGGAGGAAAAGCCTTTGCTCCTTTGCCTCCCGCCCACCCGGAGATCCAGCTTGACTCCTGGCCTGCAAACCCAAACCACAGCCCCTCTTAACTGCACATGGGAGGCAGAGAAGGCTCAGACCTCTTCCTCACTGCCTGTGACTATAAAAGGAAGATGTAGTCACACACACCTAACTATCTGCACACTCTGCAAACACACCATGTGCTATTAGGAAGGCTGGGAGCTTCTGAGCCACATGGCTATGCAAATTCTATTCTACTCTTCCACATCTATTTTGCTGTGTGACTAAAGGGGAGCCATTGACCTCTCTGAGACTTGGTATTCTCCACTGCTCTCAGGATATTTGAGATCAGTTCCCAATACCAGTAGGAATTATGACAGTCACAGAGCAGATACGCGCACATATGCACACCCCATACAGTCCCACACCCACACTACCACATGTAGATGCAACAGCTATCTAATTACAAGCCAGAGATGACGCGCCTTCATCATAAAATCTTAAAATATAAGCTGAATTCCTTTCCTTCCTTTTCCATATCAGAGTCCAATTATCTTCTTCAAACACTTAAGCTCAGATGACCAGCATGAAATAAATGCAAATAAATAATCCAGAGTTCAACATTCAAGGCAACAAATCTTCCTTTAAATTAAATAAACTCTTTCCCATTCAGCCATAGCTTACCCAGATAGTCACAGCGGTGACTGATTATGCTCTTCTCTAATTATTTCAGCCCACACCCATCCTTCTCCAAGGATGTCTACAGCAGCTCTGCTTTGGCTTCCATATCAGAATTTGGCCTGTGAATGTTTTAGTTCTCTCAATTCTTACCCTTCCTTTGCAAGATAACTCCTCTGGGAAGATCCAACTCTTTCTTACTTTCTAGCCCCAAACTTGTGGTTAGGAACTCGTGCCTGGGTCACTCTTGTGCACATTGACCTTAGCATCCCTCTGCCAACTCCCTGGCTCTCCGTTCACCAAAGGCGGGAATGGAGGTGAGGAACGGGCAGCTCAGGAGTCTTTCCTTACAGTGCACAAAGGCAAAAGAACTCTCCAGAGCACGGCTCACCGTTTTCAGGCCGTGGCCTACAAACAGAGATGCAAACAGTGACAAGGTTCCTACTCACAGCAGCTGCAGGGACACCAATCCGTCAAAGAGTCCCTTGGCAATCTCAGTGATCTTGTTCCCGTAGAGTACCCTGGAAGAGAGCAGATGGCAGCTGTCACCATGATGTGAGGCCACCGTAACCTACTCTTATGGGACATCATCAGTGGGGCCAATTCTGGCATAGTATCGCAGGTCACCTCCTTCCCCAACCCACCTCATCTCTTCTGGGCATTAGCTGGACAAACGCAGCCCAGAGCAGGCCGCCCTGGAGCCAGGAGAGATAGGATCCATCCTACTTCACTCCTGGGCAGCCCGGCCCAACAAATTATTCACAACAGAGGCAGCCTGTTGGGGGTGTCTCCCCGAGCTGCGGACATGACTCATGCCCTGCAGTAGACAAGCAGTGGGGGAGGCTGGCCAGCCTGCTTCCAGGGGGACCGGTCAGGCTGAGCCCAGCCTACAGACTGCTTCCTCTAGATCTTCCACTGCATCCTAGGAATTCCTTTTAGGAATTCTCTGGGGTCATCTCCAGATGGCACAGGGACTGCTGGGCCTAGGACTGGCTGGCAGGAAAAGCGGAGGAGCTTTGTTGTCTCCCAGCGATGGAAGCTGCTCCTTCCCACTCCTAAGGTAGTCCTCGAGATCCAGGAACCTGGTAACTCAGAACCCTTTGCTTCTCTGTCAGGCCCACAGGGTCTCATGCTGCTGTCTCCTCTTCCCAGGCCCCATCATGGGCGCCTTGTGAGGCCTGGGGAAGGAACCTCCTGCCTTGCTGTACCCAGAGGGTCTCTGGGCCTGGGTCATGTTGCTCCTCAGCACAGGTGCCCAGGAGACCCTCCTGGCTCCTGCACTTCCCTGGTCACAGACTTTCTGTCTCCTGTCCAGACTTGTCTCTGTCACTCTCCAAGCAACTGAGCCAAGGAAGGTTTGGTTTGTTTGCTTTTAAAAAAGTCCCCCCCCGGGGCCCCAAGGTGACAGAATGAGGGAAACATTCAATTTCCACTCTGACCACAAATCCAGGCTGTGACACTCATTTGAAGAGCCAAAATATTAGGGTGAGGAAATGGAAAATGGAAGTGTTAGAGCAAACCCCCCATTTCTAGATGCCACTGGAGTAAAGAGCGAGTGTCCCCAGCAGCCTGCGGGTGTGTTTCATTAATGTTTCAACAAATTAATGACTAAATAGAAGTCAGCATGATGGCTCAGACTCGCATTTGTAATTCATATTAATGTCCCACCGCTCGCTGTGCCAATGGAGTGATGCCACTGTCTGCTCGTCTCGGTGGACGTCAGGACTTCTAATGGGGCAGAGCTGGTGGATGGCGGGACTGGGGGTTTGGGGGTGGGTCCTTCCACTGTCCTTGTGCTTCAAGGGACCAGCCTGTGTGCCACCTCAGGGGCACCTGTGTGTGCACCTGCCTGGCTTTTCTGGTCTAAGCTCAAACCTCTTTCTCTGGGGGCTTCTAAATATTTCGTTTTTCTTTTTTTTACAACCTGTTGCCCTATTTTATTTCTTCACAGCACTGGTCCTTATTCTGTTATATTATTAACATATCTATTATTATTTTATCCTGTTTTATTTTTTTTACCTCCTCCCGTTAACACAAGCTTCATGGGTGTGGTGACTTGCTCACGGCTGGGTCCCTAGAGTTGAGACTAGGACAGGGTGTGACCTAGTTAATGCCTGCTGAAGCGGTGTCTGAGCAGGGTGGGTAGAGGCCCTCTGGCCCTTCACAGTGGCCACTCCTGAGCTGGGCATGGATATGTGGATGTTCAACTCTCAGCTCCAGGAGGCCATCGTCTCGGTGCCTGTGTCACTGTTCAGGACATGGCAGGCACGTGCTGGATGGATGAATGACTACATTGGAGGTGAGAGCCATTTGGCGCCAACCACACCCAGGACACATTGTCACATGGGCTTAGTGGTGTGCCATCTCATGTTGGGCAATTGTTTTCAGACGGTTCCTAAATCCCAGCTGAGGGAAGGCAGAAAAGGGGGACGGGAAGGTAGGGGTAGGACCACGGTGGCAGGCCCCTCTCTTGCTTCTCCCCTGTGGTCTTCAGCACGACAAACAGGCACCGTTCCCACACACTGCCCTGCTTTGAAATCCCAGAAAGATGTTGTGTTCTGGTACATGAAGCTAGTTTACTCCACAGGCAGCAGCAGCCACCCCAGCGATTCCCTGTCCCCAGGCCACACAACGGGATGGGGTCAGGTGGGGAATGTGAGCTGGTCACCTCCTTACTTGGGAATCAGGCAAACTGCTGCACGGAGAGATGGAACATGGCCCGTTTACTTCTGAGGGGCCCCCTGTGGCCCTGGGCTTCGGGAGGCAGGGGAACAGTCCACCAGACGATATAAACAGTGTCCATTGAGGAAGCCACTGTGGAGAGCCATTAAAGGAATCCCCTTCCCGTGCCTGTGTGTCTCATGGCCCTTGCTGGTGAGGCTTTGGCTCCAAAATGGACACCTATGGGCAGTAGGATGGCATGGACATCATCTCAGAGCAGCAGCCACCAGGTTGGTTCGAGAAAAACACCCAAATTAGCAGAAGGAGAAGAGTCTGTCCTTCAGCAGGGCCACATGAAGGGGAGGGGCTGGAAGCGAGGGGTTCTTGGTAACAGACACGGTCACCATCCTCTCCTGCTGTCCCCAGAGACAGCCCTGCTGCGGCGTGTCGGTAGGTGGGGGAGCGAGGACAGGGGCAAAGATGCATTCGAATTAGAAGCCAATAACCGGGAAAGCCGCCGGGCACTTAATCAATAAAAATAATGCATTTGAGTTGTAGAAATATTCCCCAAGATCAATTTCTCTCAAAGAAATATTTGTTTCTCTTGCCAGGCTGCCACAGTGTGTAGGGGAGCATAAAGCTGGGTGAATACCTCCTGGAAAAGATAAGTCCCCACCCCCACCTCCACCCCACCCCCAGCCCTCTGTCCCCAGCCCCCTGCCCTCTGTCCCCAGCCCCCAGCCCCACTTACAGCGATGTGAGCGACTTCAGGCCCTGGAAGGCGTCTGGAGCTATGTCCGATATCTGATTCTTGCTGATGTCTCTGGAAATGTTAATGGGAGAGTCTGAGAACGCAGCTTGAAGGTGTGAGAGCTGCCGCCTCTACGTACGGACTGGGCAGCTCGGGCATTCAAAAGGTGAGGATCAGTTGATCAATGAAGCCATGCATTTATTCACAGTGCAGGAGAAGGCGCCTCAAGAACACTTGTTTCCCTGCCCAGTGGAAGGCACTGCCCTTGTACCAGTCTCCCTCGCCACAGAATGCTCCCCTCAGAGTCTCTGCTGCAACCTGCGGCTGGGCACCGCGTGGCCTCGCTTTGTTGGTGCAAAGCTGCATTTAGAGCTTTGGCTTAGGTCTTATTATCAAGCATTAGTGACAAATGAAAGAGAAACCAGCCTCCCCAACCACAGGCATCACCTTCCTGCCTCACACCTGGGCATGTGCTCGCTAATTCCCAGGAAGACCTTGTCATTTTGTCTCCCACTGACCTTTCCTCCCTAACTGAGAGGCGGCTTTGAAGAAGGACCTAAGCCTCTGTCTGGTTCCATGTGTCCTCCAGGCCCTGATATAAGCACATCATGGGATATTCAGTGGACGCCTTTGAGGTAGGGTTTGTTGCTGGAGTGCTCCTCCCTTGGGAGAAAGCACACGGAAGTGATCTAGTCCAGAGCTGGTGGGTGGCTGTGTTGGAAGGATTCTCCAAACACTGGGCCACTGGGAGGCTAACCTGGCCTCTCAGGTGCAGAGGAACCTCCTTGCCCTCCTGCCCCACCTCCTTCTCAGATGCCCTCAGGCTGCCTGCTTTAAGCTGCCTGGGGACTTCTGAGCTCCTGGTCTCTGGTCCTTGCTAATGGCTCTTCACTGAGGGGAATTCTCTCCCTCAGAGTCATTAGCTCAGGGCTGGCCTTTGGGCTCCTGTCACTGGAAGGAGAGATGCTCCAATTTCCTGCAACAACAAACCTCTCTGGTTCTTTTTTCTTTAGCAAAATAAATCAATGGTACCTTGCTTTTGTTCAGGAGAGGGAGAGCTGGGGTCTTGGTGGGTCAACAAGGAGGAGACAAATAGATATGGAGAATAAAGAACATCGGAGCATATTCTAAGCAATTGCCCCTGGCAAGGCCAGCCTCCCAGTCTCTGAAGCACATGCAGGGGAGCCTCCCCAAGCTGTTCCCCTAGTCCGTCTAATAGCCTTAGAAAGGGGTGCAGGACACCTTTGCCTAGACCTCTGCTCTCTGCCTCCCTGTTCCAAAGCTGTAAGTTGAAAGGTACTTCACAGGATGTGAGCTCTCTGGCACAGCTGCCTCGTTTATCCCTTTAGCTGGGGAGATTGCCTCTAACAAATCCGCAGATCACACCCAGACGCCCCAGCTTACGTGGGGCTTTTCTTCAGCGTTCCGTTTTTGTATAAGGGTCTTAAGCAAATTCCCCGGATTATCCTAATCTTGCTCGCCCTCAGCGCGGCTGCCTAGCAAAGCATTTCAGGCAAACAAGCAGATCTGCTCACACCAGACTAGGAACAGGGCCTATTCTGACTCTTTTTCCTGACCACGGGATGTCCCTTCAAGGCACTCTGACCTCTCACAGACAAGAGGGAGTCCCGGCTCTAGGGAGTCTTTTGCTTTAGCTCTGTGACAGCAAATTGTTCTCTGCCCACAATTAGACTTTTGGCCCCAACTCTTCCTGCAGCGGGGGTAGGATGCCCCAGGGAGGTGTTGGAGAATGGGGAATGGAAAAGGGAGACAGTTCAGTTGGGAATTGACTCTAGCAGTCACTTTGCCATTTCCCCCCAACTTAAAAAATTTAAAAGGATGTTTATGTTTATGTGCATAATATGTTTTGAAAAATATATTCACGGTAACATGGCTAAATCAAGCTCTTGAACTATGTGCATCACCTTATACACATCTTACATGTGACAAAATCTACTCTCAGCAATTCTCAAGCATGTGGTCATTAACCATCATCTCCATGTTGCACAAAAGATCTCCTGAACTTCTCCTCTTGTTTAACTGAAATTTTGCATCATTGGAGTAATATTTTCCCAGCACCCCCACCCTACCTCTACCATAAGCCTTTACTCACCACCCTACTCTCTGCTTCCATGAGTTGGATTTAAGATTCCATGCATCAGTGCACTGTCTCAATTCCTAATTCTGCAGGAAGAAAACAGCAGCCCTGAGGTCAAGGGCCTGGAGCCACAGTGACTTGACAGTCATTAGGGTATACAGTGGGTGTCCCATGTCTCCTGACACCCAGGTCAAGGCCCTTCCTGATATTTCATTATGATGGATGCAGAATGCCTGGTTCGGGACAGGAAGGCAGACAGGGGAAGGTTCCAGCTGTTGCTGACCGCCAGGCTTGGCCCTCTCGCTGTGGACTGAGAGTTCAAAGCCAGCCTCAGCATTTTAGCAAGTCAGTAAGCAGCCTGGGGGTGCTGGGAAGAAGCAGTCCACAGCGAGTGCCTTAGAACTGACTGAGCACTGTGGTCACTCTTGTCCAGTGGTTCGCAAACCTCACTAGGGTGTTAGTCAAATGCACCCACGGAGAGTCTGATGTGGTAGGCTGAGGTTTGGGGGACAGAAATTTGCATAGTCAACAAAGCTCCAGCAGATTTCTGTGTCAGTGGTCCCCAAGTCGTATTTTAGACCACAGGGTTTTAGACTCTGGTCAGTCTCAGACCCACCTTAATCCCCTGGGGCTTATAAACTGGATGACCAAGAGGGAGTGGCTTTTCCAGACTGTTTGGAACAAAGAAGGCAACTTCAAGTGCATACAAGGCTGAAGCCAGGAACTTAAATGTGAAGCACTAGAAGTTCTGAAGCCCATGGAAGACTGTTCCACTTAAGAGCATGCAGCTGAGGAGAACTCTCCACACACCAGTCAGGCTAAACGACACAGGCTGGGCTCCCAGGTGTCAGGCTCCCAAGGATCAGCTCTATGAAACCTGTGCTGAGTCTCCAGTGCCTTCTTCTCTCCAGACAGATGGTTTCTCTACCTTGATACTATTTTTTCCTAAAAGTGTTTTTTTTTTTTTGTACCAGGAATTAAACTCAGGTGCACTTGAAAACTGAGCCACATCCCCAGCCCTATTTTTGTATTTTATTTAGAGACAGGGTCTCACTGAGTTGCTTAGTGAGTTGCTAAATTGCTGAGGCTGGCTTTGACTCAGTCCTCCTGCCTCTGCCTCCTGAGCCCCTGGGATTACCAGGCGTGCATTACTGCTCCTGGCCCTGAAAGTGTTTTCTTTCTTTTTTTTTTTTAAATATATTTTTTAAATAAAGGTCTATTAACAACACACACACACACACAAATACATATATATGTGTGCTGTTAATAGACCTTTGTTTTATTTATTTATATGTGGTGCTGAGAATCGAACCCAGTGCCTCACACATGCCAGGCAAGTGCGCTACTGCTGAGCTATGCTTTTTTTTAATACCCAAGTGACCACCATAAATAGGTAGGAACACAGCCATTTGTGGTTAATCTGCTGTTAACAGACTAGAAAAGGATGCAGTTCATTGAAAGTTGAGGAAGAAACTTCCTTCTGGTAAATATTAGGAATAAATTGGTCATGGACACCAAGGAGGAATGCATACTTAGGGACTTGAAATTCATCCTCACCTGGGACCTGGCTTCTCCTAAGCCATTAAATTTCAGTCTGGATTTCTGAAGTTCTATTAGTCAAAAATGTTTTAGTGGGCTCTTTCCCTACTACAATTCCCTTGGGGGGCAGGGAGGGCATCATAATAAATATCAGCAGTACCAGAATGATCAAAAATTAAAATCACTTTCCAGGTCATGACTGAGAAGGTCTCATGAATTTTGAATGCACTTATCATGGCAACTCCAATAGGATGGAGAAAGGATGGTAAAACACAGCCAAGCTCTAAATTACCTGGACTTCACAAAAAATTAGAGCGGTGACTTAAATCATGCAAGAGATATAGGTTGCGGCAGTGATGAACTTGTCATTTTTCACTGAAATTACTATCTGGCTGCATAATCAAGCTGGGCTTTAAAAATTGGGGGGGTGTATGGAGACTGTGCTGGGGCACAGGGACACCCGGAGATTAATGGCCACGGGTTTTAAATATTAAGGCTGATATTTATCCAGCTTCTCCAGCAGGAATGCTACCCCTGGGAGGGAGGTGCTGCCCTCAGAGCTGGCTCATTCTGCTGGTTTCCACGTCTGGAGTTGAACCAAGAGAAAATCTTGTTTGCTTTGGATTTCCAGGGAGATGGGAAGTTGGCTTCCTGAGATCTGGGGGTAAAGCTACTAATGCCACTGTTCCACAGGGATGTTTATTTTTAACGTAAAAGGAATCAGCAGAGATCCTTAGTGTATACACTCCCACTCCAGAAACCAGAGAATTAATCTGGCGTGGAAGGAAAAACAGGGTTGAGTCATGTGTACATCTACATGTCCTCTCTCCTTCCTGTGTGTGGGGGCGGGGCAGAGAGAGCAGGTAAGCGGAATGAAACCCACTGATGACCGGGACAGACGAAATCATTTCTCAGCCTGCAAAAGGGAAGGGGTCTCCCTCCAGAATCTTGGTATCTGTGATGGCATTTTTGAATCCTACCACCTCTCTTCAGCGTGTCCAGTGCTGAGTGACTCACAGACCAATGTTTAGGTTGGCATGTGAGGGGAAGGATGACAACATTGTCACTATGGTGGGAAGGAGGATGTGACACAATGGTGCTGCCAAGCTGCTATGGTGAGGAAGGCACAGCTGTGCCGGGGTCTCCCGGGCTGGTGTGATACAGCAGGGAGGTGAGATTGGCCAGTGTTGTGGGGTGTTGGTTCAGTCATATGACTGTATATTGGCCACACCCCCAGGCTTCTGATTTCACTTAGACAGTCCTGTCTGTGGCCTGGGGGCTCCCACAGTCCTGACCACCTCGAGAGCTGGCCTGCCTTTCCCTCACCTGCACTGCGGCTGGGAGGGTCCTCTCTGAGCCACTGCTCACCTCCACAGAGGCCACAGCCATCGTCCTCTCTCTCCTTCTATTTCTCTTTTTCACTTCTAGTTCTTCCCAGTTTCTGATGTTCATTATGTCCTGAGCTCTCCGCTTGGTGGAGACTCCATGTCTGTGTACAGACTTAGCTTTGTTCACAGCTCTCCCCAAGCTCTGAGGGCAGGAGACTTCCCAAGTACTTGTTATGTGACTGCATGCATGTCGGAATGTTGGTGACAGTGGGACAGACGGCTGCAGGCCACTCTCATGTCTCATTGAAACTCCTACTTTCAGAGCTTTAGCTGTAGCTCAGGGGTTGAATGCTTGCTTAGCAAGCTTGAGGCCCTGGGTTTCACATCACCAAACCAAGGACATTAACAATGTATGGATTTTAGGGGACCCATTTCCTCCCATACAGATAATTCTACTTTGTTCTGGTGGGAGAGGCTCTGAGCGAATTGTCCAAGCTCCTGTGCCTTCCAACGTGCATGGGGCACTTCTCAATCTTAGGAGAGCAGCCCAGGTCCAAAGCTGAGTGCCCAGCAGGGAAGGGCTGACCTGTTCTGGGCAGGCTGCCTTCTACACTTTGCCAATTACCCCGCCCCCACCCCCTCGCCCCAAGACATTGGCCCAGTGCTCCCCAGTGGCCACTCACATTCGCTTCAGCTTCTTGTACTGGGTGAAGGCTCCTGCGGGAATGGATCTGATGGAATTCTGTTCCAGACGTCTAGAAAAAAGCACAGAGGACTCCATTAACCATCCTCCTGCCAGCAAATGGTCCCTGAGGGCCACTGTGTTCACCTTGGTGCTCAAGGACAGGGTGGTGTCTCTCATCACAGACTGGTTGTGGGAGGCAGGTCAAACACTGCGATGGGCAGAGAGCTGTGTCCGGTAAACAGAGCACCCTTCAGGGGCTAAGGGTCTTCTGGGAAGCTAGAGTGGGAGACTGTCCTGGAGGAGTTTGGACTGGGAGGGGAAGCTGCCTTTGGGGGCAGCTGCCTTCAGAGAGAGCTGGAGGAAGGAACCAAGCAGAGTGCTTAGAAAGTCACAGGGAGAGAGAGAGGGAGACCCAAAGGAGACAGCGCGGGCCAGCATGGCTTCCTGACGTCCAGCAGGTTCCAGGGACCCAGACTGGACTCTCCTCTGGGCTGCTGCTGGAATCTCTGTGGACTTCCTGAAAGGCTTCTTCTCTTGTTACTCTGGAAAGAATGAGATGCTGCAGGCCCACGGCCCAGAACTTCCTGGGAAGAGAAGGAGCCATGGGGAGCAAGTGCATCTTCCCATTCTTTAGTCTTTCATTTCTCAACTGAATTTCCGTCACCAGGAACAGGTGTGGTGGGAAGCGGTCCTGAGCGGGAGGAGGGGCACTCTATTATGGATGATGAATGACACCTGGCTCAGGCTGAGGAGTCAGGATCTCATCCCCATCCATCTCCCTTCTCCCCAAGGTTCAGATCTTTTCATCACCTCCTAATTTAGCACGGATGCTCCCTAAGCCCTCAGCTGGGAAGACACAGAGAAAGGTGTGTGGAGGGGAGCAAGAGGGAGAGCAGGAGGAACCGGCTCTCTCGGAGGCTACATCTAGTGGATGCACATTTCTGGCGGGGCTGAACCCATTCATCTTGAAGAGTAATCCCTGCTGCAGAGTGGGGAGACAGTCGTATTAATTTGTGCCTCCGCGATCTCATCTTCATTGGGGGAACAGAGTATTTGTTACTGGAACCGCTAATGGAGCAGTTTGCCAGCAATTTTCCCATTTCAAACAACATCTCAGCTGCTAATGTGGAATGTTTGTCAGGCCTACCCATAACACAGACAAATCACTCTCCAGGCAGAGGGAAGGGCGACAGGGTGGGGGCAGAAAGCGAAGGGCGGGCGAGGGGAGAGCGTGAGCATCAGGACAGATCGTTCTTGGCTGCTGGATGAATAGAGTCTACAAATGAGACTGCCACGCTCCGTCAACATGCCTTTGTGCCCTGCTGGAGGGGGCGGGGCAGTGCTTGCTGGGAATACATTCACGGGTGGACTGGACAGGGACCTGGTGGGCTGACTGGCCCGTGGTGAGCCACCAAGTATGGCCATGGGGCCTCAGGGAGCGTGGACTATGGCTACTGCCTTGACAGAAGTGCCAAGAACATTCTCGTTTCCAGCTGAGCAAAGGGTTCAGCAGGGATTTCTCAGTCAAGGCAGCAGGAATCTCTGGGGCCACCAGTCAGGTGGTGTGTTCCCTCTAGGACCTGGGATTCACCTGCCACTATGGCAAGAGGTTTCACCTGGATGGTGCCTCTGGAGAGAAGCACCCTGGGTAACGATAGTAACCACTCTGCTCTTGCAGGTGGATCCACTGCTCCCTGGGTGAGGAAAGGGCGGGCGTGAGGGCTGCTGAGTCTCCCTGTGGGTCACCCATTTCCCTCCATTTCAGTGACCTGAAGCACTAAGGGGAGGAAGGAAAGAAGTAAGGAGCAAGATGTGACACTGGCCTCAAGGCACTGAATAATCTGTGGAAGGAGAGTAGCCCATGATGATCCACCACAGAATCAAATTCTATGGTGACCATGGCAAATAGTAAGGGGTATCATTTATGAAGTCTAGTTGATTTAGGTCTATTATTTCTTTTAACTTGCACAAGTATGAGACCAGCAGTATTGGCCCCATTTTGCAGATGAGAAAAAAAAAACTTAGAGGAGTTAAATCATTTGCATCAAAGTGACAGAGCTAGAATCGATGTCTTTCTTTTTGTATCCATTGGACTCAGTGCCTCTTTATATTTGTGAAAATGAGGAAACTGAGACTAAAGGGGCTTTCTCAGTTACAGACAAGGACAGGGAATTAAGACCCCAGTGCTCAAGCTGTGGAAGTAGGCGCCCAGCAAAAAGGCTGGAGAAGCTCAGGAAAGGGCAATGTAGCTGAGAGCACAGTTTGCTCTCTGCATCCGGGTTCCCTATCAGCAGATGCAACCAAACACAGTCCAAAGACATTCAGAAGAAAATTGCATTTGTACTGAACACAGACTTTTTCCCGTCATTACTTCCTGAACAATAGAGTCTTACAACTGTTTACATAGTATTTACACTGCATTAGATATTGCAAGTCACCTAGACATGATTTGCAGTATATGGAAAGATGTATGTACATAGGTTGTATGCAAATGCTATGCCACTTTGTATAAGGGACTTGAGAATCTAAGGATTTGGGTGCTTGAGGGAGGTCCTGGAAGCAATCCCCCATGGATATGGAGGGACACCTGCACATATAAAATATGCACATAGAGTACAAAAGTGTGATTTTGGACAAAAATAATAAAAAAAGAATGTCAAACATATCCTTTCTACCCCAGCAAAGACATGTCCCTGCATCCTTCACATCCCAGACTTTCTCTGGGGGTGGGTTTGGTCTGGTCGGACCCCTTACAGATTGCCAAGGCCAGGACATGATGTGTATTAACTTTGTCCCAGGTGATATGGGGGCTGGTCTGGGTGGGTTAACTGTGAACAGTCTGGGCACCTTACACATACAGACAAAAGGAGGGACACAGCAATCTAAAGAGGCAGTGAACACAAGGTGCTGAGCTGCAGGGATTGGGCAGGCACTGGGCAGAGTTTCCCACAGCATGTTCGACTCAGTATTTGCACCCCTCGAGGCATGTTTTTAGTTATTATTACCTCCACATTATGCACAAGGAAACTGAGGCTCAGAGAGATGAAGTCACTTGTCCAACTTCACAAAGCCAGGAAGAGCTAGTGCTGGGACTCTAACCCAAGTTCTTATGTTTCCAAAGCCCATCTCTTTTCTCATCTGCCACTGTTTCGCTCCTTGTCAGCTTATCTGCGGGGAAAAGGGCCCCTCTCCAAGGAAGCAAGGCTGGAGTGTGCTCTAGGCCTTTGCTGCTAAAAGTCCCTGGAAGCGTCCACACATGCCCAGTCCTGCAGCCCAGAACAAGGAGGCAGCAATCTAGACCCCCAGTGAAAAAGCTTCCAAAAGCACTAATAGCATTAGCAAAAACTGTCACATTTCAGGATGTGTCTGAAGCCAGCAGCTGTTTGAGGCCTCTCTTAACTGGCACATGTGTCTTTCTTTGTTTGGTGAACATTCTTCAGGCTGCAAACTGATTTAATAGAACGAGCATAAAAACAAACACACACATCAAACCTCTGAGCATTTCCTGCACAGCAGAAACATCTGATGGGGACCTCAGCCATTTGTGCTCCGTGTTGACTTGGCCCAATTCCTCGGGTGCTTCCTTAATGATCTGTCATTTGCAGGCATGCCACAGAACACCGTGTATTTCTCACAATCCGCAAGTCAACATGGTGCCAGAGAGACTGGCAGGGGCACGGCTAGTGCAGGGCATGTCTGCAAATCACCTGATAAAGAGGAGCCGCATTGAGTTGGTGGCAGTGCTGGCAGGGCTTGCGATGTGAAGCACATCTACCATTAATGAGGGCTTTTTATATGTCACACACTGGCTCATGCTGTGAGGCTTTCAACAGTGGTACAAAGCAAGGAGTAGTGGTTTTATAGATGCCCATTTTATAGATGACCAGATCAATGTGCCCCACGTCCGCTAGTGCAGGGCACAGCCGGGACTTGAATCCAGGCTGGTCCGACTCAAGTGCCTGGCTCTCAACCCCAAAGCTGTACTGCTCTTCCCCAGAAGCACCTTCGTGGTTTCTTAAATCTTTCCCATCTCTCCTCATTTTCTCTCAACTTGGGAGCTCACACTAGATCCTGCTGAAGGAAGGAAGTCTGTGTTCTCCTCCCACCAAGTCCTCTTGGGCCACATGGCTGGAGACCAGATGGACAGCCCAGAGTCCACTTCACTAGGTCTGGGACAGGGTGAGGGAGAAGGTCCTTTCAAGGTTGTTCTCTGTGCCCCATTTCTACAGCCCTTCCTGGCCTCTCTCACTATTGCTTCCTGTAGCGAGCCCTAGACTCCCCCACTGAGCCTCTATGTTTGTCCACAGCAAAGATGAGGGTTGAGGGCAAATCTGGCACAAGCCATCACTTACCTGCTGTACACCTGGACACCTGGCATCACCTACAGAAAACAGGTGCAGACAGAACCAGACTTGCCCTCCTTATTGTGCGCAGGTGTCCAGATATCTGCAGAGGAACTTTTTGTGTGTCTGTGGGTGAGGTGCTGGGGATGGGACCCAGGGCCTCACACATGCTAGGCAAGCACTCACTCTACCCCTAGCTGTATTGTCAACCCTGAAAAAAAATTTATCTTAGAAAAAAATGAAAGTACAGGAAGTTGAGACTAAATTTTGCTATCATGTCTCAGGTGCACACATGTGCATAGTTCTTGCTTTTTCAATTCCATTTTTTTCAGTAGCTTCCAAAAATTGTGCTAACTTTCCACATATTGTGCTATTTAAATCCTGTGAAAAAACTCTAGGTAGGTATGTGACCCCTGTTTGGCACCAGGATTTGAACGCAGGACTTTGGGCCCCAGGGCTCTGCTGGAAACCATTCTGCCTCCTGATTGGCTCTCCTTTGCAACACCTGCACCCAGCCCTTGCCTTCCTGCCTTCCCTGGGCATCCATTCAGAAACCTGGCAGTCTCCCAACACTTGAGTCATAGAGTTCTGTGGCTTCTAGAGCTCGCCAACTCTGGTTCTGTTGGGTATATTTGGTTTTTAGTTCTCGGACCTCTCTCAGCCCCTCTGGTGACCATTGCAATGGGGAGATTATCTATTGCTAAGCAGCTGTCTCCTCACTGGCAGATTAACAATGGGAGCAAGGGGACAGTAGAGACACTGCTTTTTCCCTCCTAGCTGCTTCTGCGTGCAACTTGACACTGAAACCTATCTACAGCCTTTCTCCATCAAATAAATGGGCCTTCCATAGCAGGAGACATGACCCTGAGGACACCACATGAGAATGTAGAGCAGAAGATGCAGCAGAGATTAGGGTGGGGCTCTAAGCACCTGCAGCCCTCTGGAGCTCTTAAAGGCCCCAGAGGGCATCTGAAGACCACAGAATGCAGGCAGGCACGTGTGGTCTCTGGCTCTTCCCTGGATTGCTCTGGCTGGAGGCTGCAGCCAGTTCAGAGAAACATCAGGGAGCAGTGTGAGTGGCGCCCTTGATGCAAACTGAGTTTTCGAGGAAAATCTGCAGTGAAGCATCTCGCTGCGGGTTCTCTGGAAGAAAGCTATTTTTAGAGGAATTGGCTCTAGTATGCGAGGACACCAGCACACGCTCCTCTGAGCTGCTTTGGCTTCAGAAAAAAATCAAAGGGAGTCTGCCAGGTTGCTTTGCATGAGAGATGCCCCTTCCAAAGTCGCACAGGGCAGGACCTCTCCAAGGTGAAGGGAATTTAAAAGAACCTCAAGTAATTAAGGATGGAGAAGAGGGAGACGAGAGCCTGAGACGTCACCAAGCCCTTTGAAGGGGAATACACGTCTGGATTATATAGATGGTCCTGGGCAAGAGGTGGAGTTCTTCATGTTAAACAGAAAGGTCAAGTTCAGATGTGTCTGGGCCGGTGATGATAACCAGACACTCCTATTCCTCCCTACTGTCTCTGTACCCTTCTCTCACCTCTCCATTCACCTGCTGGGTCCCTTGCTGTTAGAAGGATGCATATTAGCTTTTTCAGAGACTCAGGCTGATGCAGAGTCCCCAGCCCAGGCTCTGTTGCCGCTAGGAGCAGGCAGGTCCCTTTCCTCCATCAAGTTCTCTCTCTCAGGTGTCGCTACCCTAAGTACCCTCCCCGGCATAGAAACAATCCTCAGCTGCTTCAATTTCTCAGCTTCATTTCATCACAGGGGAAAGTGAGGCAGGTGCAGCAAGGGGAGCCCTGCAGATCTGTCTGGGGGACCTTGGGTGCCCACAGCTGGGGCAGCCTCCCAGCCACGTCTGCGTGCCTCGGCATGAAGACACCTCCTCCCAGGTCACATGCGTGTGGCTGGCCTCTGTCTAGAACCTGGCCTCTCAAACACGCCTTTAAGGATCTGACCTGCTTTACGGAGGATTCCCCTGTGTAGGCAGCTCCAGCTCCTAGGGTGTGGCTTCTAACTCATCACCACCCCTATAAAACTGGTGGCACTCGTGGAGTAGTTAGGGTTGCAACATGACAACAGTCATGGCTCTCAGAGTGCACTCCAGGACACACTGTAAGCCTTTGTCAGCACGTGTTCAGTTAACTCTCATACGAACCATTAAGAGGTACCATTCGCCTTTGCATTTTTCAGGTGAGGAAACCAAGGCTTGGAAGTTACTTGGCCCTGGCTCAAGACAGGGCCAGAGCTGGAATGCAGGTCTGCCCAAATCCATGGTCTGCACTCTTAGCCAACAGGTTGTTCCTTTATCCTCAGACACACTCTAGCTAGGTTGCTGAGGTCCAGACTTGGGCATTTCATGGGCTAGGTGCTCACAATTAAAGGCAATATCTCTCTCTCTCCCTCCTTCTGTTATATAATTCATATTTATATAATATACATGTATTCATAATTATATCGTGATTACATACACACGTATTCTGCTTTCAGGAGTAATCATTTTGTAAAATAAAGTACGTTTTTAATAGCCATGACAGTAGAGGAAAGCCCAGGAGCTTAGGGAAGGACTTCTTCAGACTGAGCACTTTTCCTCAATGGGAAAACATCACATTGTTTGTTCCCTTCTCACTTAACCTCAGGATGGGAGAAACTCAGTGATGACCAGGCAGCCTTTTGGCAGTTACGACTCCAAAGCTTGCCAAGGTCTCTTAAAATCCACCCAGACATGAGCCCAGCCAGGCAGGCACAGTGTGACCTGCACTCCAAGGTGCACATCTGCAGTTTCTCTCTCCTGGAGACCTGAGCCATGTCCTGTGAGGCCCACAGAGATGTGAAGCAGGGGAGAAGGGGTATGCTCAGGGTTGGGGGGGTGTCACTGGCCTGATGACCTGGACTGGCCTCTTTCATCAGACTGTGGTTTTGGGACTGGCCAAGGGAAAGTCCGTAGTGGCCGAAGACAAAAGAGAAAAGGTGGTGTGAGAAAGGAACAGGTAGGGAAGAGAAGGGGCACCACCCATGGGGACATTCAGTGGGATGGAACTGGCAGGAAGTGGGTCCTGAACAGCCCGGGAAGGTCATAGCTGGTGTGGATGGAGAGGGAAAGGGGAGGGTCCTCAGAGGGGAGCGCTGGGCCTGGGGCAGAGAGATGGGGTGGAAGTGGAAAGATGGCACTGCACAGGGAGAGGAAAGGGAATGTGGACCAAGGGAAGGAGATGGTGAAGGGGCTGGTGCAGGAAGAGAAGATGGCAGGAACTGGAGCTGGGAGAAATGAGGGAAGCAGGAAGCAAGGCATGAGGAGGAGAGGCAGGAGAGGCCTCGGTGCCTTCAGGGAGAGGGGCTCAGAGCCACAGTGACGCTGAGGACTGAGGGGAGTCCCAGAGAACGCTGGGGGACGTGGTCGCTGGTGCTGGGGAAAGGAAGACTGAGGGCCGAGAGCAGACGGTGAAGGGACAGTGGCTGTGCACAGCAGGCCCCAAGGACTCCTCCCAAAGGCTGCTGCTTGCAGGAAGGGTGTGGAGCCATGATTGTGCCTACTGGGGCTAGGGAAGACAACTTTGAAGGGAGCCAGAAAGAGCTGGCAAAGAAGATGAAGAAAGAGAAAGAAGGACTCCACTGTTATAAGCCCTATGTTTCTCTGCCTCTCATTCTGGGTAAAACCAAAGTCCTTAAAATTCCCCAGGCTCTGGCCCCTCATCACCTCTCTGAACTCATCCCCTGCCAACTGGCTTCTGGCCTACCTCAGGGCCTTTGCACATGCCATCCCTACTACCTAATTGCACTCTTCCTCCAGAAATCTACTTTTTTTTTCTTTCACTTATTTGAAGTCCTTTCTTTGCTTCATTTTCTCCATAGGACCTACCTCCTTCTAACATATTGTGTCATTTACTTTACTTTGTTTCTTTTTTATCCCCCACCCTCATGCAAGCATCATTAAGGCAGTAATTTTGTCTATTTTGTCATTGCTGCCTCTCCAAGCACAGAACAGTGCCTGTAACACAGTGGACTCCCAACAGGTATTGGCTGAATGAACACAGGAGTGAAAGGAAAAGCCGAGGAGCCATCGACTGGATTGGGCTGGAACAGAAGGGAATGCAAGGGGTGGGGGAGAAAAGGAGGAGAAGGGGAGTGGGGGAGGAGGAGGTGATGAAAGGTAGCCAGGTGAGGGAAGCACATCTCTTATTTGGAGGGATTTTATCTAATGAGTTTTCAGCAGAAGGGGTCCATGTGATGGTGTTTTCAATAAAGCCACCTAAAGGTGAAGACAGAAAATGAAAACAACTGCAGTCATTTAAAGAGCGATCTTGAGGTCAGTGTTGACTGACACTCCACTCATTCCAGAATGCGACGCCGCCTGTTTCCTAACCGCAAGGGGAGGGTGGACAAATCTGTGCTTTGTGGACAAATTCTCCTGAAATTTCTGACATCTGTACATACACACCCATGTGCCAAGTGCTGTCTCTTACAGGGCACACCCTCCTCCACCACTCATCAGGCTGTAAAGCAGCGGCCTGTGGAGTAAGTACGTCACGTGCAGAATTTCATTTCATTTTCACAATGACCCATTGGGGTTTAATACTGTAATTATCACATTATTACAGGTGAGAAAACTAAAGATGGAAGGGCAATTATCTTACCTCAAGTCATACAGATAATAAATGGGAAGGCCGGGACAAAAACAGCACGATCCTGGGGCACAGACGGATGACTTAATGCAAAGGACCAGACAGAATGCATTTCAGGCCACATGGTCCTCTGTCACAATACTGCCCTATGAGAGCAGCCACAGACAGCACGGAACAAACGGGCGTGGACGTGTTCCAATAAAACTTTATGTGCAGCAATAGGCAGGATGGGATTGGCCCGGGTTCTGAAGTCGGCGTCTTTAACCCTGAGCTGACGTGCTGGGGAAGGCAGGGGAGGATGGTGAAGAGATTCCTGAGGGTTTTTAACAGTCAGCTCTAGCAGTGAGATACTGATGACCCCCAGAGGGACTGCCTGGGACAGAGGGATGACAAACCCGGGCACTTACATCTCCACGATGCCCTCTGGCAGATTAGCGGGGATCTCCGTCAACCCTTTTCCTCGGCAGTCCACGATGCTGTTACTGCAGGTGCAGGCAGAAGGGCAGGAGAGAGAGTTGGCATTGCAGGATGGGGCCTCTGAGTGGGGACCTGTTGGCAGGAACACAGCGGTCATCTCCTGTCCATGACCAGCTTCCCAAGGATATGGCTTCACCTGAAAAGCTGTCTAACAAATCATGGCCACTGACAGGGGAGCCCCAGGAGAGAGCCTGGCCTCGCTGCTTCTGGTTGTTGCACCTGCTCTCTCGTCCCACCATCCTGGCCTCTCATGTCAGGAGAAGCCAAGCCCCAGGGTCAGTGACTTCTGAAGGTATGCACTGGTCCAAAGGGTATCTGCTAGGACCACTTTTGCAGGGTGCCCAACATCTGAATGGTACCCTGGGGTTTTGGCTTGTATCTGATGATTGAAGGCTGAGTGTAGACAAAACTAGTCCTTTCTTTAGTGGCTGGAAGCCACCAGAGGTGTCAAACCAAGTGGGAGCAACAAGGTGGCAGAATTTCCCCACTTGGGGCAATGATGTTGTTACATGTCAACACATTCATCAGCAGTGATGCCCAAGTTATTTCTGAATGGCTTTTATGTCCAGGGAACATGCAAATGAAACTTCTCTCACTAGAAATGAGGCAAATAAGTTGCTATGTATTTTGAAGTTAGCCTTCATTTGTATGAGGTGAACCAGAGTGAATTTAAAGCCAAGTAATAAAAACCCCAAGCAAATGGCACCCCCAGGAGCTTATTTAGAAAGCCAAATGGACACACAAACCCATTACTGACCCAACTGAGGATTCAGAGTTAAAGAGAATTTTAATGACATTCTCTATTCACATTAAATTCCAAATAGAAGAAACAAATTTGAATATTTTAAAGACACTATAAACATTCCCATGCTTTGGTTGCAACCTCACAGTGAGGTCAGGATCTCACATACATGCTGCATTTTTCAAATGTGGATGTTCTGGTCCAAAAGGAAGACCCGATGAAGTGGCCCTCCCAGGACTCATCCCATCCCTTTCAGATCCAGTCAACAGTGGTCATCACAGTGTCTTTCAAGACAACCTCTCTGAGCAAAGAGGCCCAGGCTGCACCTAGCTCAGAACAACTCTGCAGGGCTTCCCCACTGCTGGGGCCTGGAACCTCTGGTGGGGGCTCCTGGAGGCAGATTAAACACAAACGACAGAAATGATTTTTGGTTTGGCTCCTTTTCAGAGGAGAAATGAAAACCAGAGTGAGACATCCCTGGTGGTGAAATCAGAGTGACAACTGGATCCCGGGCAAGTCCCCATCTGGACGCTGAGACTCCACGTGGAGCGTTCAACAGTGCCCATGACCCCAAAGGCTGATCTGTCTGTCGGAGCTCAAGTTGATGCCTCCAGCTTAATTTGAAATGTTTCTGTCCTCAGGAAGTGCCAACCCAATGGCCAGAGATTTTTACTGCCTTTCACCTCCTAAGTACATGCAAAATAAATATTTAAAAACATCCTCTTAGCTGGGATATTTGAGAGAATATTCTTGATTCCTGTCCAGTACACAAGGACTTCAAAGTCACTAGTGCCACAGGAGGGGATCCAATGAAGACCATGGAAAGTGCCCGAGGGCTGACGGTTACACTAACAGCCCCCTGGAACATTCTCCCAGAGACAGGGGTATGCTGGCTTTGTTTCAATCCGGGGAGCTTAAACAGCCCACAGGAGCCTCAACCCAGAAACAAGAATGTGCTGGCTGAACGTGGGGGCTCTGGAGTCCCACAGCCTTGGCGCAGATCTTAGTTACCCCCCCTTGGTTCTTACTCCCAGTGCCGCGTTTCCCCCATCTGTAAAAGGGGGGATCACAGCCTTATTTCAAAGCATGATTTTGTTGAGAAGGTGAAGGAAGTTCACACATAGAATCTTTAGAAGAATGATTGGCACAGAGAAGGAGCTTAGTAAAATCGGCTATTGCTGTTATTATTATTATTATTATTGAGTATCACTCTGCCACTAATTATCTGAAGACCTTGGGCAAGTCACAGTGGCATTTTTGTTGCCATCTCGGTGAGTAAGGAGTTTGGTGGCATGATTTTGACACTCCTAATGGGACAGAGGGCAGCTTCTCCTCTCTGCTCTTCCCTGCAGGCACACAGAGGAGCCACAGTGTGAAGGACTCCCGTCCCTTCAGCCATGGGTGAGGGAGGCTGAAGCAGGTGGCTTCAGATTGCAGGGCTTCTGAAGTGCAGGTGGTATCCCATCCCCCAAAGGAAGCTGCTGTGCCTGCCCTTCCACAGCAAGGGGGAGAATGTGGCCGGTCACACAAGGGGAACTGCCACACCTGGTGCCTTCCCCATGGGAAATGTAGGGACTGCAGCCTGCGCCCCTGCCCTTCCACCCATCAGGCAGAGAAACTGGATGGCCGTCCCTCTTTGGACCTGTCAAAATATTACTTGAATGGTGTGTGTTGGAGAAGGGAAAGATCTGTATTCAAGGCTCCCTATTGACAACAGAAAGTTCTACTTGGAGTGATTTTCAAAGCCCCACTTGTATCCCCCTACACCAATTTCTATGTAGTAATTAATCCTGTTCTAAACCAGACCCAGGTTGCATCTTGAGTCCCGGGGGAGTTGTGTTTGGAGAGGGTGGCTCTGATTCTGTTGCAGTGTGCACTACATTTCAAGGGATGTTGTCACGGCAAAAAAGCCTTTGAAAAAGATTCCTTAACCAGGTCACTAACAACACCTTTAATTACACAGTGAGAAACAGCGGTAATTATAGCCTCGTCAGCACCCTGGGCTGGCAGCACCCCAGGCAGGCAGGCATTCCCGCAGGTGAGGACAGGACCTTATTTAAACAACACACTTCAGGTTTCAAATGAGGGTGAAAGTCAGGGTCACTTTCTCTGGAAGCATTTTCCCATGTCCCTGTAGGCCTCTGAGTACCTGTGAGTGATGGCCCATGTCCCTCCCCCTGGATAGACTGGGACTGGAATGCAAATTCTATAAGGACAGTGACGGTTTTTGTCTTGATCACTGTTGTATTTTCGGTGCCTAAAACAGGGCTGGACTTGGAGCACGTGCTCAGTCAGCACAGGGTGGGTGAATGAGAGGGTGAACAGGCGATACCCCTCAGAGGTGACTGCCCTGCAGAAGGTCATCAGGAATGCAGGTCAATGCTCCTTCTAGAAGGGCTCTGAGGAGAGGCTCCCTGAGTCCTGGTGCCCTGGCTCTGCAAGAGAAGACCTGCCATTTTGTGGGGAGATGGAGTGGCCACAGCAGGTGGAAATCTGTACCCGGAGGTCACTCCTCCCCTGCAGCTGTCAGTGCTGGCAAAGTCACCTGGGGCTCCCACTCCAGGGTCGAGGTGTCCCAGGCATTCTGCTGTGAAATGTCACCAAACCCTTGCCATTCCGCACATGTTTGGGGAGCCAACAGCAGAGCATTTCTAAGCAGGACAAAGTCAGGAGACACCCCCTTCTCACCCAGCAAATTATGTCATGATGAGCTGGGATGCGGCAAAGAATGGGGACAGTTTTTCTTCTGGGATAGAGGAATATCTAGACGAGCCTTGCCTGTGTGCTCCTTGAGCTCCTCACATGAAATATGTTCTTATGGGGACCCCAGGAATCCACATTGTCCTGCGTGAGCCTGTCCACTGGCAGAGAAAGTGGCCTTAAATCCGAGCATATTAATGGACCAGCCTATAACACCCCAGTGATCCCCTTTCTAAGATGTCCTACTACTAATGAAGAAGTGCCTGTGGCCTTGCTCTTCACTTCTTCCATTTTTAATAACTGCCTGAGTTACCTGTTCTCAAACTCTTTCGTTGGGACCAAAATGCTGCCCCACTGAGGTTGGAAGGACATTGCCATCCAGAAGAGGGAGGTAGATGTGGACTGAGCTCGTATCTCCCTCATAGACCCCTCTTCACCACCACGTTGGTGCTGGATCTCAACGCAAAGCCACAGCCACCTCTGCTGAGCAAGGTGGAAAGGAAGACACCCTGTCTTCCGATGTCTCCTTGGATTGTAGGGCCGTGCCTGCTGCCTTGAAGGTGGACCCCAGGAGCTTTGGGAAATGGAGGTGCTGGCTTTCCCTACTGATGCTCACCAGCAAGGCCTGGGAGGCCCGGGGCACCTAGAGACTGCGAGGGCAGGAATGAGCTCCAGCTCAGCCTCTTCCAGGGAAGGTGCCCGAGGCCACCAGCATGGGCACTGGGAGTCCTGCTAACCTACTGACTGCTCAGAGAGAACAAAGACGCATCTATGACCAGAGCTGCCTCCTGCCCGGCCTTCACCTCACCTTTGCTCTTTGCCTAATTGGTAAAACGAGGGTGATCATCATGCTGAAAGCACAAGGCCCTGACCTGACTGCCCAGATGAAGGGACAAAGATCACCGAACTTCAGACCTAGAGAGGTCCATGGAGACCACAAGAATACTGAGCCAGAAATAGGGGATTACTTACAAGGACACCGTATTGGCCAAACAAGAGCCACCACATTCTCATAGCAGCTAGTGTTTACCGAGTAGTTCACTGAGTGCCAGATGCGACACTAAAGACCCTATCATATTGTCTCACTTGATCCTCCAGGACGCATGTCCATGTTCTAGAATGATCACTCCCATCACACTGATGAGGAGACTAAGAACAGGAAGGTTAAGCCAGCTGCCCAAGATCATAGATCCCAAACAACAAAGTTCCAGCATTTGGTCCAGTGCTCTTTTGCCCTGCCTGCCAAAAGGCTACCCTAAATGCCTCTCTTAATACCGTGAAATTAAAACTCTCAGTGCCTCAGAATCTCTGAGGGGGCAGGGGCGAAGGCTCAGGGGCCGGATCTTGTAAGATACACTAGGAGATGCTTGGACACTCTTGTGTTTATTTCCCTCTGTCTTAAAAAAAAATCAGCCAGTATCCTGCACAGGGTAAAAAAATCCAGTGGCCTTGTGAGTATGTAGAAATAAATTAATTCCAGTATTCAAATTAAGCCTCCCTACTGGCCTCTGGCCTTTCAAAGCCACACCAGACTACAACGACATTGCAGCTGAAGCAATCATGATGGGAATGGAAATGAACGTGCGCTAAATACCAGAGGCATGATAATTTTGGAAATGGCTAAATAAACCTAATAATCTCATTCCTGCAATGTTCAATTATGGTGTTTTAATTAAAAGCTCCTAAGGAGATGGGTGGCTGGTCATGGCTTACCTTAATTATCTTTGTACTTAGTAACTAGTCCCAAATTAAAAAACAAAAAGAGGAAAAAAAAGAAGAAGAAGAAGAAGATGAAGAAGAAGAAGAAAGGAGCTTTTCCAGTTTGCAGGGAGATAAGTATATTTCATTTTAATAATAAATGAGAAAAAGTGTTTATGGGGAGGCCACCAGGGTCCACCATTGTTCTAGGTATGGGGGCACCTGAAAGAATATGAGATGTGGATCCTTATTACCACAACCAAGACTAATGTCCTTATGAGCAGATGTCATATACTAAGGCCACCAGCAGATGAATGTGAAGTAGGCAGACAAATTGGGAGGCTTAAAAACACTCAAAGGAAAGAGATAATTGACTCAGGAGGTCAAATATTTAACTAATGACTGTAAATTACAAATTATTACAGATAGAAACTCTCTCAGATTAAGGAAATACATGGGAAGTAAATCCTAGAATTTAAACCCCAAAATAAACCCTCAAGATGAAAAAAAAAAAAAAAACATGACAAACCCCAACCTTGCAACTAACATATTATGATTTTTTTCTCTGGTCTATTTATTGTGAACTTTGATAAAGGTCCAGCCTGTGAGCAACAAGAAAGAAGTGGGGTCCATGGACTCTTCCAGCCCTGGGCCCAGCCTTCTCCTCAAAGCAAGAGTGGTTAACAGAGAAGCTCTTTTATCAGAGACTGAAGGAAGATAAGTGGTCAAATTGCATAATAGAGAAAATGTTAATAAAAATAAACTAAAGGTATATACCCTGACCCTGGTGAACAATTCTCAGCTGACTCCCCAGAGGAAGAAAGTGGATGTCTCTGGGAAGGAATGGCTGATGGGGAGATGAATTTTGCCCAAGTGAGCTGTAGCAAATTTCTGGGTTAGCTGGAGTGATAAGGAGCCCATTTCCAGGGCTTCTGGGGAGAAGAGCCCAGGCTGAGACGGCTGGATTTAATTCAAGGGAGATATCAGGGACTTGGGCAGGCAGGGACCTCCCAGGCTGAGTGAGATAAAGCTCCTTCCGTCTCTGGGGCCATGTGTTTGGTGAATTTTCTTTTTTTTTTTTTTTAAGAGAGAGAGAGAGAATTTTAATATTTATTTTTTAGTTATCGGCGGATACAACATCTTTGTTTTGTATGTGGTGCTGAGGATCGAACCCGGGCCGCACGCATGCCAGGCGAGCGCGCTACCGCTTGAGCCACATCCCCAGCCCCTGGTGAATTTTCAATACCACTTAAAGGCCTAGGGAGCTCTTCTTCTTCTGCTTGACAGGGATGGCTGAAAGGAAGCCACATGCAGGATGGCTTAATTGTAGCCAGTGCCTCTCCTTCTCCTGATCGGATGACCTCTATTTTTATAGAGAATTCTTGCCCCTCCATTTTGACTGACGTCTCCCTCTGGTGAGTTGTTAGGGGAGTAGCTTGAATGGGGAGCGTTTTGCATCTTAAAACAGACACATCAGTCCACACAGAACTACCCCATGCATATGCCCAGCTGGGTGCTGGCACTGGGGTGAGGGTGTGCTGGGGTGGTCAGCACATGACTGCTGTCCTTTTCTCTGGCCTCCTCTAGGGGTTAGCTGCACACCACAGATGGAGCCTTTTATCAGTCTTACAATTGCCTTCAGCAGGTGTGAAGGAGGCAGCACTTTGGGGGTATGTTCTTCCTACACCCCACATGATGGTGGAGTTTCATTCGTCACTTCCCCTAGACTGTTGCAACTGACTCTGACCTTTTCCAAAATTACCCCTTACAATCTTCTAGTTTTTTATGCATGAGTGCCTGATAAAGCATTTAATGAATCCCTCATACATACAAGTCACTCCCCAAAAATCAGACTACAGGTGAGAAGGTGGAGGGCAACAGCTTATTGATGTATGAAGTCTTTGGACTTCAGTTCTCACGTCCTCATAAAGCAATTGGCTTCATGTTAGAAGCTCCAGAGACCATCATAAGTGATGAATTTGACTGCTATCAACAAAGGTGGTCAGGATGCGCCTAGGTAATTAATAAGATCCACCTGCGAGATTGAACCCTCTTGGAGTAGGGGGATTGAGGGCATTAGCATTTCTGGGACCTAGGAGGGAGTGCCTTACTCCCACGGGTTCTGGATCCTGGCTGTTATTGGGTCAGCAATGCCCTGCCACTCTTGGCGGGAAGGTGCTTTCGTGACGAAGTGGCATTCACAGCCGTGTGCTGCATTAAACTCAGCACCCACCTGTAATGATGTGTTTTAACATTCTCTCTAATTAGTTTTTCTCACTAGCTCTTGGATGACTCCTGCACTCTATAATTATTTCTTTCAGTGGCACTTATGCCAATATTGCACCTTTTGCCTAATAATTACTGTAATTATAGTCACTATATTTGAATTTGGTGCCTGTGTGATAAACGGTTTTATTATACGTGTTTCATGGGAAGTGATTTCTAAGTGGGCGTCCATAGGAAGCTACTGAGGTACTGCTCAGAGACAAGTGTTTGTGGAGAATAAATAACATAATGAAGAAATAATGTGACAGGAGGAAACAGCAGAGAGGGAGAGGAGGGTGAATCAAGGGAATTCTTGCACCGTGGCCAGGCAGTGGAGGAGCAGAAGACCCGTCTGCACAGCTGGCCATGCTGGGGCCTGGTCGCCAGACTTGGCTCAATAAGCCCTGGGTACTGGAAAGGATCAAGGGTTCAGAAAGGTGGGGAGGGATGTCAGCTCAGCTCCTGGGGGCCTTGCTCCCTCCTCATGCCCCCTTCCCAAGCTCAGTCTCTGGAGGCCCTGGGCTCCAGTTCCAGGTCTGGGCTCCTGGGAATCTGTACAACTCTTTGGGAAACCCCTCCATGGAATTTTTCTTTTTTTTTTTTTTTTTTTTTGGCTTTAAGGAAAATCAAGGGATTGGCTCTACTTCTTTACCACCAGAAAAAGAGAAAGTTAGTGGAAGCACAGGATGTCAAGAAAAGTAAAGCAAACGAGTGAAACTTAGAACCCAGTTTAAAAGCTGTGTCCTCAGCCACTGCCCTTCCCTGGAGTTCTGAGCCGCCTCAGTCACGTGTCTACACCGTCCACTCTCGTGAGCTACGGTGGCAATCTGTGCTCCCATTTCACTTCTATTACCCACAGATCAAACCCTTCTGTTTGCTCAGCATATTTTGTGGGCCTACTAAACTATCATAATTAAGCTCCACTTACACAGCTCTTACCATGGGCTGCTCATTACACTAAGTGCCTGATATGCATTATTTCACTTAATCCTACCCACCCTTTGAGTTATGTACTATTATTCTTTTCTTTTTGTAGATGAGAGGTAACTTGCCAAAGTCACACACTAGCAAGGGGCAGAGCTAGGATTTTCAGCCAGGCAGGATGACTCTGCAGCCTACACTGTCCTGTTTCCCAATTTCTGCAAACATTCAGAGGACAGCAATCTGTGTAGTAAATGCTAAAACACTTCCATCATACCCATGTCCGTGTCATACCCATATGACATGTGACTCAACAGACGTTAGGTTTCCTAGCATGACCAGACCAGGGGCCTTAACAGTTCCTTCAGCTTTTCCATTACCAGGTGTCAAGTCCTTCTTTCTTTTAACCCCTTGAGGAAATCCAGAGCTCTTCAAGTCACTACTGTGTGTGTGTAGCAACCTATGGGGCTCCTTCTATGCCATGCTCCGGTCTGGGCTGCATGTTCAAGGCCGGGTCGGGGGAAGAGCTCACCTGAACACACGTACTCCTTTTTCTGCACATCCGCCACATTGAAGCCCCTCAGGTGCACAGGAGCCATGCAGAGTGTGAACTGGCCAATCGTCCGCCGCTGGCGCAGCCAATCTGAGAGCCAGGCCAGGTGGCAGTCGCAGTATAAATGGTTGGAGTGAAGACGCCTGGGAGAAGGAGAGACAGAGGGAAGGTGCTGTCACACAGTGCTGAGCAGAGTGGACCAGGCCTCTGCTGCCCCTTTCCCCAGTGTGACAATTCTTATGGCATAGGGAAGCCTTTTCCTTCGTACTCCCCCAAAAGCAGGAGCCTCAGCCCTTTTATGGCTAAGCCACAAATTATCTTCACATGTAGGGCACATCCAGTGGATGCCTTCAGGGTTCTGAGCAATTTCCATTTCTTAATAATGATTCCACCCTTTTCTTTCTCATACAAGGCAAACCTCAGCTCATAGGAGACAGAGTGTGATATTATTATGGTGAAAGTACTGATTCAGGTCAAACTTACAAAGGGATGATTCTTGCAAATTTCAGTTCTTGTGCCAGCAGGGGTACAGCTAGCTTGAAACATGCTTCTCTATCTCAATGCCCATCTGAGATGTCACTGTGGCTGAGACCTGCCATTGCCTTTACCTGGCTCTCCTTCATCTCCTCCCTAAGTGTCCTTCAGAAGCCTGCTACATGGACAGCTAACACCAAGACCACCTGGTCACACTGCACAGAGAGAGTAGGGTACAGAGAGAGGGTACTTTCTGAAAGGTGGAACGTCTCTGCTTCCTGTTTAAATAAAGTGTTCATACCGGATGGCAGCAGTCCATAGCAATCTCCGTGGTTCCCTCCCTCTCTTGCCAAATTCAATTCCAGCTGCTATATTTGCTTTTCTGACTGATTTAGGTGCCTCTGAAAAGATTTCCTAACCAGTTGCAGACTCTGGCTTTTCTGTTCTGGGAGCTGGGATTCCAGATCAATTTCTTGCCCTTGAGTGAGTAGGATCCCTGGAGGGATCTGCCTGTTGCTTTGCTGAGGGAATCCCAGATAGTTAAAGGACTTGAACTTCCTTTGCATGGGCTGAAAATTCTTCTTCAAGGACTCTATCAGGATCTCCAACTTCTGTATTCCCCATGCCCTTTGGTCATTAGAAATAGTGGTGGGGAGTTGAGCAGCATTAGACTTGGGTTTCTGATGCAAATGTCAAATGCCTGATCCTGGACATGCTAATCAGCCAGCAGTTATCTTGACTCTCAAGTGCTCTCTGTCAAGCCTCTTAATACTGAGTGGCAGCCCAAAGGAGTGGTGCGGGCCACCACTATGCCTACGTGGGAAAGCTGAAGGGCTCTCAACCACATTCCACTCAGCGTAAGGTCCATGTTGCCAACACTGGCCAACTAATGGGCTACGTCTGGCGAGGGCCTTCCTGCCACTGCATGGCCACAAGCCTCTGGCAGGCTGGAACCATGGTAAGGGGCCTCAGCTGCTGCAGACCCCATCATTTCAGACTCAATGAACTCAGATCCCACAGGAAATGCAATTTTTCCTGCTAAAAAATTGTGTACAGCTTTTTATGATTTTGTTTTTTTAAATGATTTTTTTAAACATTACTGTCTTTTGTATTTCATGGTAAGTCTAGCGCACTTTCAGAAGCTTCCAGGCCCTAGACATGGCAATTATATGGGACCCAAGACATTTTCCCCTTTGAGTTTCACAGTCAGACCCCCTGAACCGAAGCAAGCATGGCTCCCTCCCATCCTGGACTCTGGACACAGGTTCAGCAGTTGGGAAGTGATGGGGAGACCAAATTCTAAGCTGATAGGGGGACCTCAACACCAGGAGGAAAAACAAGACCTGTGTCTAACCGTGAGCATGATCTCTCGGTGCTTAGAGTGAGGGAAGGTATGGCAGGACACTTTCAGCTGGTAACTATTTCCTAAAAGGCAGACTGGAGAAGAGGGGATCCCAAGTCCAGGAAGCTCCCACCAGGTATTAGTGCTGCTCAGGGAATTGGTAGCCATGGGACAAGGTGGGACACAGGGCAGGCTGCGGGGACAGTGCAGGCTGAGGTGTGCCGGTTGACTCAGAACCATTTCATTAGCTTTGCTTTCATGTGGAAAGGCAGTCGCCTTATTTGGCAGCAAGGTCTGGATGCTAAGGCTAAGGGGATTCACTGTGAGGCCACGCGCACGGTCCCTGAGGCAGATCAATGAGAACAAGTTCCCGTCAAGTCCAATTGAGGGTAAGAGATCAACAGGACAACAAAAATGAGGTTTGGGTAAGTCAGCTCCTTCCTGAGCTGATTAACTTCTGAGACAACCAACATGTCAGTGTTTCCCTCTTGGCAGCTTATCCTGGGTTGGTTGTTCTCAATCCTGGCTGGAAGTAAGCTGCCTCTCTCTCTCTCTCTCTTTTTTTTAAGAGAGAGAGAGAGAGAGAGAGAGAGAGAGAGAATTTTAATATTTAGTTTTTAGTTATCGGCGGACACAACATCTTTGTTTGTATGTGGTGCTGAGGATCGAACCTGGGCCACACGCATGCCAGGCAAGTGCGCTACCGCTTGAGCCACATCCCCAGCCCGCTGCCTCTCTTCTTGACCTTGCTACAGGTATTCCAAGCCCTGTCTCCTAGGAATTCCTCCCCTCCCAATCTCCTCTCTAGGGAGTTCTGTACTGAACTCCCTGAGCCCATGTGGAAGCCATGCAAAGTTTCTTGTCAAAAGCCAGGGCAGAGGACAAGCTCCTTCCCCTCCCATAGGAAGGGTACCCACTGAAAGTGCCAGAAGATTCTCTCAAGCTGCCTTCTTGTCATATTTGGGAGATCAAACTCAGCAATAACACCTAAAATACTACTATTAAAAGAAAAATAATTATGACAATCATAAAACTTGAGCTTGGACATTTCTAGGAGTAGTTCTAGTCCTCTTAATTGAGGAGGGAAATCATTTCAATTCCTTTCAACAGTTTGGTGGGTTGTGATGGTGGTGGCCTGAGGGATGGTGGCCTCTATCAGCTGTGGGGCCTGTGGGAGCTCTGGTCTCCTCCTCTGCTCACCTGTTCTGCGTTTGTTCCTGCTGACTGTAAGAGCTCAGGCTTTGATGTCAGACTGCCCAAGTCTGATGTTGGCTCTGTGCCTTCAAACTTTGGGCAGTGATTTAACTTTGGACCTCAGTGGTATTAGCTATAAGGTGGGGGAGTTAATGATGCTTCCTTCCTAGGGTCATGTGAGGATGGAAGTGGGACGTGCTTAGCACCAGGCCTGGCACATGGTTAACCATGGGGTGAATGGGTGCTATCATTGAGACTCCAGGGAGACTAGCTCCAGACTGCAGACCCTTCCCAATCTGTGGCCCTCCTCTACAAGGCTACGGTTTCTTCTTCAGATGCCAAGGCATCCAGGTGGCTAGGTGCTTCCTACATGCCATTCTGTAGCCTTTTACCAATGGGCACGTCATATTCCATGTTGATGAGACCACCTTTGCAGAACATAAGGTGAATGAATACAAATACCAATTTACAAAAGGTGCCTTTTAGCCACAGACGCTAAATTAAATTTCCAGCAAATCCTTTTAGAGAGGGTCAGTGTTCATTTTCTATAAAATGTGGCTTTCTGAATTCAATATAAAAGCTTTCCTTTGGAAATCCCATTTATGACTTCCTTCCTCTCTCCTCCTCCCTCCTCCACCACCACCAGCCCCACCCCCCCAACTCTTTAATTACAGTGAAGGGGGATTAGTCAGCTCATCTCCAGGGAGTTCTATACAGAGCCATCTCTGAAATTAAACTAAAGAGAAAATGGCAGCAGGCAGGAAGCAAAGAGAGCAGACAAGATTGATTGACTGATCTGAACTCATGTTCAGGACTATGGAGAAGAATGGCAACAGAAACAAGGAGATAAAACTGTCCCTCCCCTGCCTCCTCCCAGTGCACCCTAAACAAGTACCTAAGGTCCAAGCCTAACCCCCTGCCCCAACTCCCATGGAACCAGAAAGCTCCCATTATTGCTGCTCCTCAACTGAAAATCACAAAGACGGAAAGTATAAATCATAGAGGAAGACTCCCCAGGAGCTGGGCTGCTGCTTTCTGCAGGTGAGAGTCATTTTTCTTCCATGCACCCACTTGTCTGAGGTGACGCAGGCCCAGCGTCCGGATATTCACTTTTGGCTCCTTGCCTGGGAGCCCTGGGCTACACATTTCCCCCGCTCAATTGTGGTTTGCAGGGGACTTTGAAGAGATCTTTGAAGACCAACTGGCTTCTCCTTAAAATTCTATGAATGCACCATCCCACTTTAAGGGGTTGGGAAAAGGACAAATTTTCCTGGCTGAGTTATGCTATTGTGTGATTAAGGGAAGAATTTGGAGAGAAAAGATGGAGCTGACATCAAATTGTTGTTGTTCTTTACAATAACTAGTATTTGTCTGCGCATACCATGTACCAGGCCCTTCACGTATTCAAGTGTATTTCATTCTCATAATGACAGTGAGGTGAGCATTTATTAACCCACTTTCCTTGAAGCACAGAGAGGAAGTGGCAGAGCTTGCATTTCCACCCAGGTCAGCCTGACTCCAAATCCTGTCCCCTTCTGAGGGGCTCTGCTTTGCTTCCTTGTAAAGTGCCTCACTGGCGTTTGCTTTGTCCTCACCTGAGGTGAGATCACGTTCTCATGAACATTCTCATGGCTCTCATGATATAGAGCATGAAAATCTCTTGGGGGGGCTTGTTAAAACACACTGCGGGATCTTCCCACAGGTCTGGGGTGGGGCCTGCAGGTCTGCTTCTGTAACAAGTTTCAGGTTGCTGATGCTGCTAGTCCAAAGGACCCCACTCTATGAATTTTGGAATCTCATGTATTCCATGATGCTTGGGGTCATAGATAAGCTGGTTGTTTGGAATGTTCTAGATGTCTGGATAAATAATGTGATGCTAATGTTATCATTTATATCATTTACTCTCTAGCATATGCCAGGTGCTATGCATATGTAAAGCCACCCAATCCTCATCATTGCCCCTGTTTATAGAGGAGGAATTCTAGCGTTTTGCCTTGGCCCCAGATGCACTGGCTGAAAGCTCCCAGGAGCTGGCTTCCCCCTGAGGCTGCCAGGCAAGTGCCACTGAGCCTCCACTAACACAGAGCAAGCACTAAGCATGAAGCTCTTTGGAAAGGGAACTGCTCTCAGTTCTGGACATCACAAGGGAGATTTGCTTTGCATGCATACCCTGGAAGGCTTAACCCTATGCGGAGTCTTAAAGATAAAGGACCAAGTCAGTGCATCTCAATATCAGATTATCATCCAGGGAGCGGGTGAGCTGGGGGATGCAGTGGGTAGGGTCTTTCTTGGTGGGATAGAGAGAAGGGACAAAGACTCTTTCTCTTCCACCATTCCCAGAGGGGAAAACAGCCACTGGCAATACAACAGAACTGCTCATGGCACATGACATTAGCTAAGCAATGTGAATCATGACATCACCGTTTTGCATGTTCTATGACAATGGACAATTAACAACTTTTTAAAATCAAGGTGAGAAAACAGAACAAGCACAGTACAGGGAGAATTCCCACAGGCTCAAGATGACAGAAATGAGTCTGTCTGGTGCAGAATGGTGGTTCAGAGTCATGGGTGACACCGTGACCCTTCCCTGCATCCATTCTCCCTCACCATCTCACCCCTTAGTTAATAGCAGGAGACATTGGAATATAGGGACTGTCTGCCCGGGCTAGCTGACAGGAGGTGTCATCGGCAACTAGAGAGCTGAGCTTTGGAAGTAGTAGGGGACAGGCGGGCGAGGAGCGGGGACCTGGGACCTGTACTCACAGAGTCCGGATCTTCGGCATGTGGTTGAAGCTCGTGACCAGGATGCGGCTAATGTTGTTGTTATTGAGAGTGCTGTGGAGACAGAGGGAAAGGAAGAGGTCAATGAGGAGCAAGATGGGGGCACTGAAATGTCACAGAAGGCGGGGCAGGGACCAACAGTCAACAGCCACCAGCCAATCATCAGGGCAGCTGGAGACAAGGGACAGGTCTCTGGCTGATGAGAGAATATGCTGACTTCCTTATTCCCCAGGTTCCTCCTGCTGTTCTCCCGCAGCACTGGCTTGTCCACTGTGAGCAATGACAACCTTTCCTGATCCTACTGTGTGCTGAGTGCTTCATTGGGATGGCCCTAATTCCTCTAAGGACCCAGCCAGTTGCATGTCCTCTTTTAGAGAGAAGGAAACAGATTCGTGGCATTTTGCCTATAACGCACAGACCCACAAAGTAGACGTTATGCTGGTGTCGGAGGCCAAGGGGCACAGAGAGGTGAGTAACCTCCAGCAACCTCACCCTAGCTGCTAGCGCTGCAGGTGGCTGAACCCTGCCCTCTCCTACTCTGTTCCTTGTCGGCTCCACATTCCATCTACTCACACATGAGGCCACATGAACAGGTTTTCCTGCACTTCCCAGGCATCTGCAAGCACATCTCATCTCAAGTGCATTGGTGAGCTCCATGGGGACATAGACTGACTCACCTCCATCTTGTTCGTGACCACAGATGGGGCTCCTACAATGACCAGGACTTTTGCACAAGGAAAGGTGTGAGGAGGGACAGAGTAGGACTGCTGAGGAATGAAGTCGGGCTACAGGCGAGCACTGCCAGCCTTACCCGTCTGGGGAACTATTACGAAGCCCAGGGGAACAGGGCAGCCAAGGAGGCCATGGGCAGAGGCCTGCAGCACTTAGCAGCAGGGGCCATCTCAGGTCAGCGCACTCAGGGACTCCTTAATCGAGAGGCCACAATCCATGGGCCCCCCACCTGCCTCGTTGCACCTGAGAGCAAAAGCTGGACACACCCCTCACTACCATCATGGTGGCCACCTGCTCCTGTGCCTTCTCTTTCTCTTTCTCTCCAAGGCCACATCAGACTTCTTTTCTCATCAGCCCAACTCCTCTCATCCTTTCTTGGGCCCACACAGGTCCCCACTGGCCCAGGAAGGGGCCTTCCTTTGGAAGTTTCATTGGTTATGTGACTTCTGCACTGGCCACTTGGTAAACATAACATCTTCCCCCTGAGTGCCCTCTACAAGCATAAGCTCTCCAAAGGTGGGGCATTTTCTATGTTGTGCATGACTATAGCCCCAAGGCCTGGTCCAGACGTAGTTCAAATTGAGTCTGGCCATTCCCTAGTAGTGCAGTCTTGGGCAAGTTAGTAACATCACTTATCTACAAATTCTTCATCTGTGGAAGGAGGCAGGTACTTACAGACTGGGAAAGGCTCAGCATATAGTATGTGCTCAGTGAACAGGCCACTGTTACTAACAAGAGTGGGGAGAATCTAGTCCTGTCCTGGTCATTTCTATCCCCTACCCCAACCTCTACAGAAATAGAAACAGAGCTCCACTGAGCACATAGTAGCCCCCATGCTCACCCCACCCACCCATAGGGCCCTGCACAGATTCTTTCTTTAGCTCCTTATGACTGTAGTTTAGAGCAGCATTCCAATACTCACATGCCCCACCCCAGATGGTTCCTCTAACCCACCTGGTCTACTTGTCATTTGCTTGGCCAATGAGACCCAGAGGGTCTGCTTACCCAGAGGCATAGCATTTGATTCCTGACCCTCCCTCATTGTTCACTGTGCATCTACCACATGTCTGTCCCTGTGTTAGGATGCAGGATGGTAAGAGGAACAGGCGGACCTAATTTACATGGCTTGCTTCTGCCTATTCTGTGACTGTGCTACTCCGCCTGTGCAGAGAGTTGCCTTTTATGAAGTTGAACCTACTTAGCTGTTTTGTTTGTGTGGCTCATCTTTTCTGTGTGTGTGGGTGAGGGGAAGGGACATCCATCCTGTCTCTGTGCACTCCGGAAGCCTTATCTCATCAGACAGTGCAGAGATATTCATCACTCCCATCAGACCAGACTCTGTCGCATAGGATTAGGAAGGCCTCCAGGGCAGAATGGAGGCTCTCATTTCTTCTCTGTCCACATCAGAGTTCTAGCCTCCACACTTGGGCAATACTTAGATAGGTTTGTTGACTGACTACCAGACAAAAATCTGAGCATCTCCTTGTCTCTCAAAGGCAAGGAATAGGAAGCCTTTGAAGAGACAGGGCTTCTTCTGGACCATGCTGCTCACCATCAGGGGGAGTTCGCAGCCCAGCCCTAATGAACTGAATACATGGTACAGTTATACATGGGCTTCGACTGAACTGAGTCTGGCAGTGATGACTTATTAATGTATTACTACACTGATATTTAAATGTGAGCCATAATGAGAGCCATAAAACATTTACGATAATAGCAATTATTCCAGAACCGAAATGACTAAACACAGTATTCAGACTTTCATGATTTGCAGCTTGGGGCTAGCCAACCCAGAGATGTCAGAGGGTGGCTAACCTCTTAGACACGGATCTCTCTCGCAGCTACAGCTTCTGTTTCCCTAAGAAATAGATTTATTTTATTTCTAGCCCTGGAAGCTTTTGCCCATGAAGAGAGCATTGTACTCTTTGTGGTTTTGTGCCTGAGCAGCTGGCATTCAGCAGAGGAACTGTCATATCCCCAGTGCAGAGCTCTGAGCACGGGCCTTGGTTTAGATTCGGACTCTGCCATTTACAGCCTGTGTCATCATGGTCACTCTCTTCACCTAAGTTTCCTCCTTGTAACAGGGAGATGATGATAACCCTGACCTCAGAGAGCTTTTGTGGTGATTAAGTGAGATGATACTAATAGTTACCAACATTAACAGAGAGCTTCTTGTATATTATAGACGGGCTCTGGCTAAAGGAGCTCCACCACCCCATCTCATTCAATTCCTCTGGTCACCCCGCAAGGAGGGAATTCTGATATCTCCATTCCATAAATGAAGAATGAAACAGGTGGTGGAGCCAAGATTTAAATTCAAGCCAGTTTGACTCCAGGAGCAAGGTCTGTATCTGTCTCCTCTCGCTGCTGTAACAGAGGACCATGAATTTAGTGGCTTAAGTTTGAAGTCTTACAACCTGGAGGTCATTGTCCCAAGTGGGTTCTTGGGGCTGTTTCTTTCAGTGGCATCAGGGAGAAGCCTCGGTTTCCTTGCCTTTTGCAGCTTGTAGAGGTCACTCCTACCCTGGACCATGACTCTTCTGGGTCACTCCATCCTCCAGTGAACTTGTTATGATCTCCTGCCCCATCTTATAAAGACTTTGGTGATTGCATTTACAGCCTCCCGGATAATCTTACCTCTCAGGAGCCTTAATTTTAGTCACATCTGCAAGGTCCCTTTTGCCATTGAACATAACATTCATAGGTCCCAGGAATGAGATGTGGACATATTTGGGACCCATTACCCAGCTGACCACAAAACCCTTGCAAAAGAATATATAAAGCACTTAGTACACAGCAGTGCCCCCGTGGACTCTCAATGATCATCAACAATGGTTCTGGTGGCTTGGGCTGGTTCAGTCCTGTACTTTATAACATAGTTTCACATTGGTCTAATTTGATATTTATAGTCGGCTGATTCTCCCCATTTTAAAGATGAGCAAATTTGAGGCTAAGGTTCTCTACATATTTCTCCCTGATATACCCACTGTCTCCTGTTCTAGGATAAGCTGTCACTCCATCCAGATCTTTCCTGTCATATCCACATGGGACTGGAAACACCTGTACAAACTGTTCTGTTGCCTCTCAGTTTATAAACCTTGTTGGGAATTAGCAAATAGAAAAAAGGTTTGTTCCAACAGTGACACTATCCCACCTCTCCATTGGATCCCTGGTCCATGCTAAGTTAGGGGTCACCTCGTCACCTCATCTTATCTACCTCCATCCTCAGGAGGAGCTTTTCCAGTTTCAGAGTCTACCTTTGACCTCATTCTTCTCATCTGGACATATTTTGAGAAAATATGCCTCCCTCCCCAATTATCCAGGCAGTAGTTGGCAGATTTATCCTAAGTAAATACTCTTCATTCAGCATTTTCCATCAGGTTTCAAGCACAAGTTCAGGGTCAAATTAATTCTGTAAATTTCAGGACTGTCCAGTATTTTTGTATCTTTGAAAGGTACTGAATGTGCATTTCAGCATTAACTAGAAATAAAGTCAATTCTCCTCCCTGTGTGGTGGAAAAGATAGTACACCTACCTCTTATTTCTATCTTATAAATTTCCTGCTGTTTATAAATACGCATTCATATTGAGGCTAAATTTGACTGTTATACTGTCCAGTTGCCCTTTGCTTTATCATGATTGGAACATACATAACTAACGTACAAAGTGATTATTTCCCATATTAAAACGATCCATTAGGACAATGCCACTCCTAGCAATGCATCCATTCTCTCTTGGTGGTGAGCACTAGAAAGGCTGGACCAATATTTTTTCCCAGGCCACTGAGGGTTAGTGTACTTATCCCTGCTCCTGGAGTGCACAGATTCAACATTTGTGTCAGGGAAGAGCTGGCTCTGGTTCATGTTGCTCACTGCTCACCTGGGTGCCAGGGCAAGACAAGGGATCCCGGCCATGGTGAGTGCACAAGGCAGCGGTGCAGATAATGATCAGCTCCAGGGACCGGGTACATGCTGCCCACAGGCCAGACCCCAGGCCATGCAGCCTGTATTTGTCGATAAAGTTTTACCCATTTATTTCCATGCTGTCTGTCGTAGTTCTTGTGTGACAACGGCTGAGTGGTTACGACAGAAACCGTATGGCCAGCAAAGCCTAAAACATTTACTCTCTGACTTTATATAGAAAATGTTGGTCAGCCCTTGGCTGCTCTAGAACTGGGCTGTTCAAGTTCTGCCTTTGCCAGGGAGTAAGCATGACATGTGACCAGTCGTAACTGTTCTGAGAGATGAGCAGATGCCATCAGAGTCTTTCAAAACTTATAAACAACAAGAATACAAAAACAAAAACACATTTTCAGGAAACCT